AGACTATCTAATAGGATTTTTATAAATAAAGAGGAACACTAGACGGTATAACAGAGGCAGAATGGGTCCAATGAAGAAAACTCTCCAGACAAAGGCAGTTACAGTTGAAAGAAGGCAAGAGTTCCCTAGGACTCTAATTTTGCTTTGTCATGAGTATTGCTGTTGTGATTTTAAACACTGTTTTCTCTTCCTGAAGAAGTGAATATATTTAGAAACACCAGTCTTCCCCTCTCAGCACTGGAAAAATAATAATAAAACAAGCCAGGAGAGATGGTCCTCTCCTGGTGCCTGGGCTACCTTGTCACCGACCCCACCTCTTAGAACCTGGTCTTTCTTAGTACACTTAGGAAGTAGTGGGCTTGCTCACCGCCCATGCCATCTGGATATTCTCTAAGGTGAAGCCTCAGATACGAGTACAGACCTGGGCAGAGAGATGGGAAAAGCACCCCAAAGCCAGATGTCACGGGCTTCCTGCCATGACAGTCAGGATTTGACTCAGCGCAAACCAATGTGCTGGTACCAGGCGGCCCACCTCTGCTTCCTACCTGGTGGGGGAAGCTCAGAAACACTGCCTGAATGATGGTGAAAGACAGGGTGCTGCCCGCTTTCAGGGCAATCTGGTGTTCTCGTTCATACTTAGCCACAGCCTACCCTCGATGGCAGGGGTTTGCCTCTCAGTTGCAAGGCTCAGAAATTAATCAGGCCTCATGAAAGAATCTCTGGAGAATAAAACAAAGCATGCCCATTAAAAATGCCTTCTCAGGACATCTGGGTGGCTCAGTGGTTGAGCATCTGCCTTTGGCTGAGGTCGTGATCCTGGATCCTGGGATGGAGTTCGCACATCAGGGTCCCCATAGGGAGCCTGCTTCTCCCTCTGCCTATGTCTCTGCCTCTCTCTCTGTGCCTCTCATGAATAAATAAATAGAATCTTTTAAAAAATGAAATAAAAATAAAAATGCCTTCTCATCATCTTCTTCTTTTTCTCTTAACTGACCCCACAAGGGGGGAAGACGGCATATCCTAGCAGTGAAGCACATGGGCTCTGTTTCACTCCAGTGGACTGTGTCATTGTTGGCAACTTAGTTAACCCCTTCAAGTCTCAGTTTCCCTATTTATAAAATGGGTAGAAACACAATTGTACCCATTCTGTAGGGTTAGGGTAAGCACTAAATGAGATCACTCGCAAAAACCACCAAGCATGATACCAAGTTCATAGTATCCCTCTGGAGTTCATAGTCATTATTCTCCCAAGAGGTGCTCTGTGGATAGAAATCTGCTGTTATACTTTTCATATAGTAGGTATTGGTCACTATGTAACTTGAATGGACTTATTTTAACATAAATCAACTGGCTGGGTTGGAGGCATTTAACGATGCAGCAAGAACCTCACCCGAGGAGTTTAGTGATTATGCCCTGAAAGCAACTAGAGCCCATTTGCAGAAAGCATGCTTTCAAAGAGACAAGTACGGCAACACCTTTTTGTCAACTAGCAAGGAAGAGAGGGGACATTCTGTATAAATGACAGAATTTATCTCCGTAAACTTATTCATCAGAATGTGATCCTTGGGGATCAAGGGAACTTTAGAATGTTAGAAACACTTGGGGGAACTTGCTAGAATGCAGATTCTTGGGCCCCCGCTCAGATTTCCCAATCCAGATGCTCTGGGAGTGATGGTCCTCTGTACCCCTAAAGTTTGAAAACTGCTGGCCGCTTCTATTGTCAGGCCAGTTATGATACCTGGATTATATTATATATAAAAGATATTCAAGGAGGCATTTGCAAAATTATTATCAGTGGGATCAAAGTTGTATTCATAATCTAATTCATTTTCGTTTAAAAATATACCTATACGCATTGCATCGCCATGCTTAGGACAAAGACTGGAAGCATACACGACACATATAAGAATGGCTCTCTCGAGGTGCTAATGTTATGTGTGATTTATCTCATTTTGTGATTTCATATACTTTTAAATGTCCTACAAAGAGCATCTATTACCCTTCTAATGAGAAAAAAAATAAAATGTGCTTTTGAAATAAAAGCATTGCGGCCAGATGTGCCGCATCAAATACTTCCTGAAATCTTACAGAATTCTGGAAAAAGGAAACACAAGATTCATGGAAACCAAACTATCTCTCATCACAGATGATGAAAACAGGTCTAGAGAAGGAGAGTGACCTGTTCGAGGTGGCCCTACTGGTTAGTGGCTGGGCTGTGAGAGACCCCAGGTCTCTAGGCTCTTGGACCAGAGGGCTTTGAAGTGCTCCGTGCTTTCCAGGGACCTGCCTCCCTTTCTTCCTGCCCTGTGAGGGTGACGGAAAAACTACAGGAAGTGCACTGATTCTGAGGGTGGAGAAGTATGTAATAGCCTTTGCAGAGAGGACTTTGCAGCTCTCATTATTCTCTCTCTGGGAGTTAGTAGGTCATTTGCAAAAGGCATGGGAAGAGCAGCTGATGAAAAGGTCTAATAGTTTGGAAAACTGCTTAACCTTATTTCTCTATTTCTGGATTTCCCCCCATGGCCAAGGACTGTTGAGATCCTGATTTCCCCCGGAGGTTTCCTGTTTAGGAATGCAGTGAAACCTCTGAAATCCAGAGGAATTGGGGAGAAGGCCAGCTGGAATTAGGGAACGGTCTGAATACTTTTTAAGAACATTCAGGTCTATTGTTTTCAAGGACATGGAGGCACAGATTTGGAAGGAGCTTAGTCCAGCTCCTGCTCTGTGCAGGAACCCTTTGTACTTCACACCACACAGAGCTTTATTTGGGCTTCTCCGAATGCTTCCAATGACAGGAAGCTCACTATTCTGATAGATAACCCACTTCACTTTTAAAGTCTTTTTTCACCTGAGCGGGGAATCGACCTTCCTCTGAGCTTCTGCTTGCCTTTCGGTATTCATGTAAAATTGATATGCTCCTTTTCCCCAGATGGTCCTTAAATATTTGAAGGCAGGTATCATACATCAAATAGGTCTTCACAACATTCTCCTCTGCCAGCTGGCCACCCCCAAGATACTCAGTCATTATTTATATGACAAATGTCATCAATTCTAATTAGAATTACAAACTCGTGTCTCTACTTAGCTTCTAAATTAATGGTTATACAAACTCATACCTGAGCAGAGCTTAGAGACCACCTGCACTGGCCTCGTGATTTTACAGACGAGCAAGATGAGGTCCACTGAGGAGAACTGCCTGACCCAACGTGAGAGAGAGAGAGAAAGAGAGAGGGAGAAAGAGAAAGAGAAAGAGAGAGAGTGGAGACCTGGAACCTAACGGCATGAATTCCCAGTGCCAGCCTCTTTCACCCTGCCTCCTATTATTCATAAGATACCAGTATTTCTTAAGCCCTTGAGAGTGCTTGGGAAGTTTGTTCTCTTAGGTATTTCAAAAATGCCTCCTTCAAATGATATTTGCACTGTCAGTGAAGGAGGGATTAGAGCAGGGTGGAACTTATTGGACATTATGCTGTCCGTGCAGTCTCGTTCCAAGTGCATCCATGGCTCTCTGCTGTCCAAAGACTATCTCCCTTGCCCTAGAATGCGATAGCTCCAAATGGATGGTGCACCTCCAGGGCCGCCTAGTCCTGCCTCACTTCCCATCGGGTCTAGGTTCCCGCTCCATTTCAGAGAACTTCCCAACTTCAGAACCAAAAATGATTTCCCAGGATGTGAGGCAGGCTGCATTTCTGCTCTAGCCCATGCTTGTTTTCAAGTGTGAAATCCTCTTTTCACCTTTGCCCAATTCTCGATGAAAAGACAAAGCAAAGACTCAGAGAAACAAACTAGACACTTGGGTGATTGGTTTCCTGTCCCAGTCCCCAGCAACCCTGCAGTCACATGCTTCGAAGGGCACATTCCTCCCTGCCCCAGCCCATAGCAGCCTCCCTCTTCTCTCACCGAGGTATTGCGTTTCCAGTTCTTATGCCCGTTCTGGCATGGATTATGAGCTGCCTTGTGCTGCTTCCTGGTCTGCATGGGTTTGGACCCACGGAGACCTGGGTTCCAGTCCTGACTCTGCAGCTAGCTGGTTTGTGAGGCTTTGGAGGGTTACTTAATCTTTCCAAGCCTCTGTTGTCACATCTGTTAAGAGAGGACAATTATATTGCCTACATCATAAGGCTATCAAGATGATGTAATGCCTAAAAAGGTGTCTAGAACTGTCTGGATCATTTAGTAAGATTCCAGAAAAGGGATCTGTTTAGTATTATTAATCTTATGCTACATAAGTGTATACTCTTCTCATGCTGCACACAGTAGGGGCTGCATAAATGGCCCTGATCGATCTAGCCTGAGTTTCTTTTGGTAGTAGTTTCATCAGAAATATTCTAAGCATTGCGTGTCAAGAGTCCCCACTTCCCAGCTCCTTTTTCCCCAGATTCCTTCCCCCCAAGAGTGACCTCAGTGGGGAGGCCCACCCTGGCCTGCCACTTTGCACACCTGTCAGCTTGCATCTCAGGATAAGGTTCTCACTTGACAGACTCTGAGAACTTGCTGTCCAGGCAAAGAAAACTTTAGGATGATGAATCCAACACAAACCTTATGTAACCAACCTGTCAGCAAACAGAGGGACAGAGGGACACTGACAAACGCCTGCCTGCCTCCCCCCACTCAAAGCGCAAAACAAAAGATGACAGAAGGCAAGGGATTGAGCAGTACGTAAAATCCTGTTTTGTCAAGACCCTTAAAACTCATCGAAGTTTTTATATTAAAGGATTCCTAAAGGAACACGAATATGGATAAACGTCCTTGTACCCAAATTTTAAGTGAAATTATATTAGATGCTTCTCTAGCCAAAAGAATATAGATACAACTTTTTTTGTTGTTGTTGTTAATCACGTTTATTGTCCACAGGACTTACAACAGTGACAGAAAAGTTTACATTTTTTCTCCTTGAAATTTCTACCTGGAGTGGCTTATAATTCCTGGTGGGTTGAGGAAGCACGCATCTCTTCCCCGCTCCTCCCTGCCCCACCCCCCCCGCCTCCCCAACGCTGAGGATATCCTAGTAGACTCTTGCTGGGTAAAAGAACAATTCTTTCTCTTATCCCTATTGTGGTTATTTGGTCATTGCCTGAATTCTGCGCTAAGGACCTGAGAGCAGTAACACCCACTGACATGGGTTTGTTCTGTGACAGCCCCAGGGAGAGAAAGCTGCCACCATTGAGGGCGAGGACAGAAGTCAATGGCCATGCAGTGGAGGGAAGACATCTGTTCCAGGAATAACAGCTGACTGCTGGGTTCTACGGCTGCAGCCCCGTCTCTGACATCCTTGGCTTCTTACCTTGGGCAGGTCATTCCCCCTCACAGATTTTTCGTCTCTTTGGATGTCAAATGCTTTCTATGGGCTCTTTCAAGTCCGAGATCCTGTGAGGCCACCAGAAGGGTGAAGATTGGCTGGAGAAGCTGCCCGCACCTCTGGGTGTGGGGCCCAGAGCAGGAGGAGAATGTGAGAAGAGGCAGCAAAGCCCTTGGAGAAAAAGTAAAAGCGCTGAAGGGCACACACACACTCTCCAATTTGCCACGGCACGTCCTGAAAACTCGGGCACCTAGCTTTCTCCCGAGAGCTGCGTGTGCACCCGGACACCCATCACTGCGCTGACAGGAAGCAGAGGAAGCCAAAGCTTCTCTGGTTGGGGACCTTGGCTGGGACAGAAGGGAAGAGAGAAGTGGAGTCGGCTTCGTGAGTGGGTGAAATGGCAATGAACCTGCAGGCCGATCCTCTCCAGGCTGGCGTTGCCAAGGAGGACGGTCCACTCGGTCAAACCTGGGCCAAGCTCTGGCTCAGACACACGGGCAAAAATAGAAAGGGGGTGGGAGAAGAAATGTGTTTACTTTTGTGATTTTCCCTCATGTGCCTCTTAACAGTACTAGAATCTCTCCACAAAAAAGCAGTAGACTCACAGGCCTCGCCTGCATGGATAAACCCTACCAAACAATGCACATCCCCACAAATACAGTCAGTGTCGGGGCGGCTGGAAGGTGAGTTGGGAAGGCAGCACGGCAGGGTGGAGGAGTGGAGGGAAGAGCGCCGGCCCGGGGTCCAACACTAACCCAGTGAACCATGGAAAATCCCTCTCGGATGCTCTGCAAAATCAAGTGGCTGCCCTGTTTAGATTTTGGAAACTTGGATCTGTGGTTCTCAACCAGGGGTGATTTCACCCCTCACGGAGTACTTGGCAAGGTCTGGAGACAGTTTCGGTTGTCACAGTTCAGGGGGTGCTGCTGGCATCTGATGGGTAGAGGCCAGAGATGCTGTTGAACATCTGACCATGCACAGGACAGGCCCCCGCCCAGAAAATTACCTGGCCCGAGATGTTAACAGTGCCAAGGCTGAGAAGCCTGGCTTTATATCGAAGTGAGGAAGACAGACAGAAGGAGGAGGAAGGTTTACAATCTCGTTTTGAGGTCATGAGGTATTTATTCATCGGTTAAGTGTTTTCCAGCTTTCTCCCTACGACCAAGGCCCTTTTCGGTTCCCCTTGGAATGACAAGGGCTCTGTCTGGGTAGCTTGTGCACAAGAGCTTCTTCCTTTATCTTTAAAATGCCAAACCTGACACAGTACGAAGATCTCCACTATATATAGATCTGCAGCCAATATATGACATAAGCAGCTGTTAAACAAGTAGGACTAGAAGGTGAGCGGTGGGGGCGCGTGGAGGGACAAAGCAGATGCCTGTAACTCCGTTTCTGTGAGTCAGTGTTTCTGATGTAACAACACAGAATCATCACCATAGGACCAGCGAGACAAGCTATGCTGACGGCAGGCACAACTGCTCTGAGGCACTGGCACTGAGGGAGATACAGGTTCGCAGCAGCAGATTCAAAGGCAAAGGAAAGGGTTAAGCAATCAGTGCGTGCCATTCCTGTATCATTCCATATTAAGTCCCTGGGCAGTTATTTATTACAAATAGTTACCTGCGGTTTCCAGTGGGGGGAGGCGACCACACTCCAGTCAAGGGGTTTTGGAGAAACAGGTGCAATGAAGTCATGGTCAAACAATTTATTTACTGTAAACTTTAGACTTTGCTCAGGAACACAACTGAAGCTGCCCCTCAAATCCCTGCCTACAACAACACCCTGTTTGAGCAAATAAGAGGGGCCAGCAGAGTCCGTGTTCACAGCTGAAAGGTCCAAGATACTCAAGATCCTCCAGTGCAAGGGTGCAGGAAGAAAAGACTCCTTCACATACAGATGACCAGCAGCAATATATATTACCCCTAATACTTGATCAATGAGGTAGATCCACGGAAAAGTCATCAAAACATAGCAGCCCCAGGTCCTCTGGGACCAAAGCCCTTCAGACACAAACTTACACGTTCCATGCAAAAAAAGGAACTGAACTGTACAACAAACAATCACTCGGATATGCTTTCTCTTATTTTACAGCTTAAAAAAATAAAAAATAAAAAGGCAGAAGGCCGTCCTTCCTCCTGCACATCTCTATACAATTTTATTCTAAATTTATTACACTCAAGTTAAATAGTCTGTATAGTGTTTCGTTGCGGGGAGGGGGTTCATAAAAAGTAGAAAAGCTGCATTACAGCAGTGAGTCGTTTGTACTACAATTCCTCCCTTGCGAATCAACGCTATCGCTAGGCACAGTACCTTGACGGTCTTCCGTGCCTGGGGGGTCCTCACACAGCAGTTCGCTGTCTTTCTCCTGCCCCAGGTGACATCCACTGTGCTCCCCAGCATAGTCGCTTCTGCTGTTACTGTTGTTGGAGTAGCCATTCCCATAGGCCTTCAGAGAAGACCTGCGCAGGCACAGAAGCTCCTGGAAGGCAATCCTGAAGTCAGGGCTCCGGCAGTAGATAAGGGGATTGAAAGCAGAGTTGACATAGCCCACCCAGTTTAGGAGGATGTAAACTTCCTTAGGGATGAGGTTATCCTGGATCACATGCACTATGTTGACGATGAAGAAGGGCAGCCAGCACAGGGTGAAAGTGCCCATGATGATGCCCAGAGTTTTGAGGGCCTTGTGTTCCTTCAAGCAGAACTTGGAGGACCTCCGATGTCCGTGCCCGCTCCGCCCATCCTGCTCCACCTGGCTGAGGTTTTGGGCATGGAAGCGGCCCTCTGACCTGTCGATCTTCTGGAGCTGCCTTTGGGCCACCTGGAAGACCCTGGAGTAGACGAAGACCATGACCACCAGGGGTAGGTAGAAGGACACGATGGAGGAGGCAATGGCATAGGCTTGGTTCGTGAAGAAGTCACAGCACGTCTCCTTGGCGTAGCAGTTGATGGCTTCCTGGTGGGTGGCCCGGTACCAGTGCATCTGGATGGGCAAGAAGGAGGTAAGGCCTGACACGATCCACACCATCAAAATGACCACCCGGGCCTTATTCTTGGTCAGCAGGCTCTGGTACTTGAAGGGCGACGTGATAGCAAAGTAGCGGTCCACCGCGATCACGCACAGGGTCTCGATGCTGGCCGTGACGCACAATACGTCAATGGAAGTCCAAAACTCACACCAGAAGTTGCCAAAGGTCCACATTTTCATGAGGATGTGGCTGGCCCCAAAGGGCACCACCGCCAGGCCCATGACCAGGTCAGCACAGGCCAGGGAGGTGATGAAGTAGTTGGTGACCGTCTGCAGACGCTCGAACCTGGCGATGGCCGTGATGACCAGCACGTTCCCAAACACGATGGCCAGGACGATGAGCGACATGACGATGCCCATGCCCACCACCCACGCCTCGTTCCGCTCCTGCGAGTCTCCCTGGTCCGGCGCGTGGCTCCCGTTGGGCGCCAGCAAGAAGACGCTGCGGTTCGCGGGCTGGCCCATGGCGCGCGGGCCGGCAGGTGAGCGCGCGGGCGCCTCAGCGGGCGGACCTCGGGGGCGGCGCCGCGGGCAGCGAGCGGGCGCCGGGAAGCCTCATCCAGCTCGCGGGGTGCCGTGCGCTCGCCCCGGAGAAGCCGCCCCGGAGTGCGCGCTGCCCGTTAGGCGCCCCGGACTTTAGGGAGCTGCCCTCCGCGTGACGTGCGCCAACTTTCCGCCAATGGCGCGCGGGCGGCCCCGAGGGGCCGGGCGCCCCGCCCCGCCCGCCCGCCCGCCCCGCCCTCCCCTCGGCTCTCCCGCCCGCTCGCGGGGCCGGCCCGGGCGGGGCCCGGCCGCTGCCCGGGGGCGCCGGGCCCGGAGGCCCGCGGCTGGGGCTGGCGAGCTCCCCCGCCGCGCGCGGGGCTGGGCGCTCCCTGGGGGCCGCTACCTGTCCGGCCCGGGCGCTCTCGGAAGAAGCAGCGACAGGCAGGGACAGGCACACATGCACCCCGACAGGCAGGCTCAGACTTCTGCGGAGACACGCCCGGCCGGCGCACCCCCCAAGCACACTCGTGCGCGCGCACACAGAAGCCCACGGGCACAAAGTCACCCCTGCCCAGCAGAGCCCGGGCCAAGAAGCCAACCCAGGAGCACCCAGAGCACAGAACCAAGTAAACAGGACGCTAGGCGCTCACGTGGAGGCAGGCAGAGAGCCACAGACTCGGACGTCCCCCTCCAGGTACCGCAAACCCCTCGCTGGGGCGCACAGCACCCCCTCCCCTCCCCTCACCACACACACACACACACACACACACACACACACACACACTCACACACGAGGCACATTCCCTTTCAAACATTTGGCAGGACCACAGGAGGTGACTTCAACAGCGGCCCGATTTCCTTAGCACACTCCCTGTCAAGCACTTTGGGTGCCCTCCTTGGGAATTGGCAGGCATTGGGACACAGCATTGCACCCTCTGGATCTCACTGGGAGCTGGAGCTGGGGTATGCAGGCCCGGGTTTGGGGACCCGGAGAGAGGGTCGTGGGCTTCCATTCGTGATTCTTGGGCGTGTGCTATCACTCCCTCGTCATCTGTGGGAATGAAAATGAGTTGAAAATAGAATAATTTTCCTTTCAACCTCATCTTCTTCAGCAATCCCGCTGCCACTAGAAAAAAAAAATGCTTTCAGTCTGCCGGGTAGTGTGTTGATTTGTCGGGTTGAGCCATATGAAATTGCCCCTCTTCTGTGGCGTCTGACTTTAAAAGTGGCTGTTTCATATGGCTCAGACCATTAGAATGTGTTAACATTCAGAAAGTTTTGAAACCACAGGACAGAAGAGAATTTCTCCTTAAAAAAGAAAAAAAAAAAGTCATACCAAGCCTTCAGACTAGGGTCTTTGTCCATGAAATATTATCCTTTGCATCTGGCATATGACTTGACTGTTAAGAAGAAATTAATTTTCAGGATTTGATTTCACATGTATTAGTAGCTTCTTTGAAAGACTAAAAGTATTTCAGGCAGTGTAACCAAACATACTTTGTAGATTACATAATAACATAACAATGGCTAACATTTAGGGAACACTCTGCTATGTGCTTTTCATGCATTATTCCATTTAATCCTTCCCACAGTCCCATGGTGGGGGGAGCACTATTTTTAGCTTTATTCACAAATGGGTCTCAAAGAGAAAAATAGCTTGCCCAGGGGCACGGGGCCAGGCAGTGCCAGAGGCAGGAGGTGAACCCAGGTCTTCTTGACTCTAAAACTCATCTTTTAATCCTTTCGAGGTACTTACTATCACTTGCAGAAGGGAATGGAGGCCAGGCAAGAGACTACAACCAGAATTGGAATACTCAGGTTCCAGATCCCCTGTCCTAGCACTTTCTAGCTCACCTTCCTTAGGCAAGTCAAAAAGAGAGAGCCTAATTTCCTCCCTCTCTAAGTGGAGAATAAAGTCACTCCCACTGGGCAGAGTGAGAATGGAATATATAATAATAAATGTGAAAGTGCTTTTGCACATGTATGCACCACACAAATGTGGGTTATAAATGAAATATATAAAGGTCACTTAGTAAGTTTAGAATGTGTTGTCAGTCTTCTCGAATAGAACAAATACTTAAGGACAAAAGTTAACTTGGCTGTTTACTGTCCAAGTAAAGCTCAGAAACAAAATTTAACCTGCAATGCTCCCTTTAACTTCCTTGACCAGCCAGAGATGGTTTTTGCAAGACAAATGCCTTAAAAAGGAAATATTTCCCATAAAGGTGCAAATATTAAGTAAAGATCTATTATGCTCCCATAGCTTTCAAAATATACCCACCCCATATTTGCGTTTTCCAAAATTGGCTCTGGTGTGATGCATTTTAGGAAACGGCAGTGTCTGTTATGCAACACAGTTTCTTTAAATATACATCTAGCCCAAATTGTGGAACCAAGCCTTTTAAAACCTCCTTCCTGTTTGCGAAGCTATGGAATAAATAAGCGTATTGTTTAACCTTCCCATAACAACAACAACAAAAAGAACAAAGAAAGCCCTTTTAGGATAAACACTAATTGATCATTTAGATATACACATGAGTCATCTAAAAGTTTAACTTTGAATATTTTGGGAAACACCTTTTAAAAAAACCCACAAACACTAAATCAAAAAGGGAAGATGGCTTATGTCAACGAGGAGGTTCCAACGATGGTTTTACCCATCATCTTTCCCAAATGGACAATCTCTCCTTCTCTTCTCCTAGCCCCTGCTCACCACTTTTTTCTCCCTCCCTCCCTCCCTCCCTCCCTCCCTCCCTCCCTCCCTCCCTCCCTCCCTCCCTCCCTCCCTCCCTCTCTCTCCTTCTCTCTGCTTCATCACCAAGCTGGTAGGAATTTCAAGATGCTGTTTTCACACCAAGAGTCTTCTCCTGACCTCCTTTTAGAATTGGGCAGCCTGGTGGCTTAGCGGTTTAGCGCCACCTTCAGCCAGGGGCCTGATCTTGGAGACCCGGGATAGAGTCATGTGTCAGGCTCCCCCTACATGGAGCCTGCTTCTCCCTCTGCCTGTGTCTCTGCCTCACTCTCCTTCTGTGTCTTGAGTAAAATCTTAAAAAAAAAAAAAAAAAAAAAAAAAAAAGGAATTGGAGTAGAGAGAGTTAGTTAGAATGGGAAAGAGGTCAATAGATCATTTAGTTCATTTCCCTCCATGGTGCAATGAAGAAACTAAAGTGCAGAAGTAAGAAGTGTCTAGTCGAAAGTGGCAGGCAAGATAAAAAGATCCAGGCTTGCTCCCCGCCTTACATATGTCCAACGCAGTCACTTCATTTCACAGCAGAGGACTTTGATTGGCCCTGCTTGCTGGGCTCGTGGCATTAGAGACTTAATGCTTCAGCTGAACTTGGAAGTTCTTAGTAGTCTAAATGCACCTTGATCTGATGTAAGAAAAAGCAGGCTCTTTTATGGTGATTGATAGTGTCTAATTACATATTTTGTTCAATCCCTTAAGACATTAATTTGTCGTTTCCTGCCTGCCAAACAGAAACAAAGCAAAACACATTTTGATTTACTGAACAAATGTTTGAATAGGAGTAAGGTTCTTTGGTGCCAGGGAATGTCCTCACACCATTAGCTGGACAGCTTAGGAAAATCTTATCCTGTTCTTGGCTTAGATGAGATTCCTTCCATCTCTATGACCTGAGCAGATAAACATCTGTAGATTTCTTTCTAAATAATGGTCTTAAATGTCTTGTCTTTAATATTCTCTCTGTATACCTTCACCCCATTAAGTTTACATTAAATGAAATTAAATGTAATGTTCCGTGTGCTCCCTTGCAGAAGAGATAACTCTTACTGTTTCCTTATTTTTGAATCAAAATGTGCCCGTAGAATGCACATTTATCTTATCGGGCGCTATGTGTGAAAGGCCCCTTTGAATGTGAATAATGAGCAATTTGCTTGTAATTTGAGTTTTGGTGAAAAAGAATGAAAACAGGAACAAAACTTGGTGCCTTAGAAAGAAAAATGATTATGGAGACACCTGGGTGGCTCAGTGGTTGAGCGTCTGCCTTTGATTGAGGTTATGATCCCAGGTCCCGGGATTGAATCCCGCATTGGGCTTCCCACAGGGAGTCTGCTTCTCCCTCTGCCTGTGTCTCTGACTCTCTATCTGTCTGTGTTCTCATGGATAAATAAATAAAATCTTAAAAAAAAAAAAGAAAGAAAAATGACTTTTCAGTCATTATTCCATTTAATTACTGTCACCATCGAGTTATGTAGCTGGGTAGAATGTTTTTGGTTTTTGAGTGAAATATCTCACAGTCTGGTCAGCCCCTTACACAAGGCATCCACCAAAACTCTCAGCTCTAGCAAGGGCAAGCTCCCCACATCCTCCTGCCACTGTATATTTCTGACTATGCAGAGAGTGAACTGCAGTACATCTTGCAGCTCCGGCCCAGGGATTTTAAGTCTGCCCCCTTGAGGCCACTCAAAACAAGTTTCCTTTTTCTTCCCCAAGACCGTCCTCAAGGTTTTGGGAGAATCCCTTGGCGATCTCCGGAGCCTTCCTTTCAGCTTAAATAGCCCTTGTTCCTTTGGGTCCAGAGTCTCCTTTACCATCAGGGCAAACCTATTCATGCTTGGGTCTGTCAATGTCTAAACTTAACATCAATACCTGGAATGATCATAGAACAAGTCCTCAAATAATCAATTTGCAGTCACCGTGGCAACCAAAAAGTAAGCAGAGCAACCAGCAAAGCTTTCAGAACGGCTGATTATACCGGATGAATTTAATTTCCTGCTGTGCTAGCGTTTTATGAGAGACATGCTAATAAATTCTCCACGTCTCAGGGGGACCGAATGAGGGGAGATGGCTTAAATTAAAGCCGGAGAGACTTCAGTTGGTCCTCTGAAGGGCTACTTGGCCTGAAGACTTCCAAAGAGGCTAATCTCTACCAGCTCTTCTCAGTTGGGACTTCATAAGAGAATTAACCCTGCAAAAACTGAGTGACGCTTCTTACTAATTTTCCCAAGAACAGTACCTAGCTATTACCCACCTAGAGCTCTAAGAGAGAGGTTAAGTTGTTACATGCAATGTAAGGGATGCCTTAGGGCATAGGGCTTAATTCTTTGGCTGAATCTGAGTGGCATTGCTTGGAGTTTCCTGCAGATAGGGAATGAATGGTGTGTGATGATTAATACTTCTGTGTGATGGAAGCAGGTTGGGGCAGAGGAGGTAACATGGATGGGGGATCAGGAGACCCAGGCTCTGGGCTCAGGACAGCTATCATGTTATAAATAACCTTAGTCAAGTCACCTTCTTTCTTTGAGCCTCAATATTCATCCATGACATGAGGTTGGCCTGGGTGACATCTAAGACCCTCCTATTCTATTCTAAGCTGAACGAGCCTGTTGTGGGAAGGAAGCAAGTGGAGGGTCACTGAGGAATTGGGTTCCTGACTCTGAGGCCACCGAGGCACTGGCAGGCAAAACCCATCAATACTCTACAAAACAACTTGGCCATGCTCCCTTCCCCACGCCAAAGTTCACCATTGTGATTCTTGCCATTCCAATTAGCAGGTGTACCATTATTTGCTGAATACTTTATTGACATTGACTTCTTTCTAAAACCCAAATACATTTATTTTTAAAGAAAATTTTGTGTTGCTGCCAATGCTACACGTGGTAAACCGGTGTCATCTGCCATAAATAGAAGGTAACCATGAAAACAAAACAATGTTAATAAATTCTAGCTAGATT